AATTTCTCAGTTACGTAGATCTCTGTGAATAATAATTTAAATATACCTGTGGAGCACCACTATTAGTCATTATCTTTATAATTTATAAAGCATTTTCAAATACATTATTTCATTTAATTCTTACAACTTGTGCAATACGTGATTTGGGGCTGTCTGTCTTCATCCTTAAATTGGGTGAGAAGTTGCTAATTCTGACTCCTTCAGAACTTGAATTTGTGACTAATTTTCCCAAATCCCCCATTGTTTTTACCTTGTGGATTAATCCTTTGGTAAAACTTTTGGTAGAACAAAGAATATTTTTTACATTTTGAACACTCATTACCTAAAACATGTATGTAATAGATTTTCATTTAATAGTCTATTTTTAACAGTTGGGTAAATTAATGTATATTTCTGTATAGCCTAGTTTTAAATGTCAGAATTTATAAAATGATTTATACAGGTAGTTTAAGAATTTTCTGTTTTTATATTAGAAAAGAAGTCTTAGCTATTAAATGTCAAAAGAAATTAAGATTAAAAGTAATTCTACCTAGCTGTTGTAATGTATCTGAGAAATTGAAAAGATTCCCTTTGAATAGTTAAATGCTTTCTTGATGTTAATTTTATCACTGACAGTCATTTGTCCTTTAGGAATACATTCCTGAAAGCTGTTATAAAGAACCAGTTTCACTAATACGGATTGACAAGGACTATCTTAAAAGAACTGGTTAAGTGTGATAGGGAACATATAGGCTGACTACAGGTGAGCACTTTCTTTGGAGGTCCAGGCCAGGTATCTTGGAACTATTAATGTGAAAAGATTGGTCCTGGTGAATAACTTTAAAATAAGCATCAACCTCTAATGGTATGCATTCCTAAATGATCTTTATTTGATTTTGAACTACAGTTTTATGTAATGTGCTCTATTTGTTAGGAGGGATAGATTCTGTTCTAAAGATTCCCATAAACAGACAAACCTACCTGTAAGCAAATGTATTGGGATTTAGTCTTTAAGCACTTACCTTTAACACTTCCTTCTCTCTCTCTAGGAGGGGCTATCTGTAGGCAGCCTTTGTGATTGAGGATAGAGCAGCAGCAGGAAGCAAGAAATATTAGAAATCAAGAATCCTGAATTCCCAAATAAGGAAGGTTTCCTGTTCTTATATTTAAATATGGGTTTGTCTGAGCTGGGAATTTACAACGCTTCAGAATACTAGGGTATGTTTTACTGAAATCATTAGGAAAATTTTTTTTTCCTATCAAAATTGCCTCCTTAACTGTTATAACCTTAGTACAGAGCAGTCACAGTAAAATGTACGCTCTGTTGAATACACATTACATTGTAAAGCAGTGATCAGATTCTATTACATTTTGTAGCTGTATCACAAAGTTGAATGGTGATATGGAGTATTTTGATTATAAAACTAAATTAGATACTTTAAAAATTATCAAAATGAAAACCATATTGATTTAAATAGGTGAGTAATGAAGGGTATTTTTGTTGTATATAAGGAATCAAAATGGCAAATAATCAAGGGGTATTTTTATCTGTTGTATATAAGGAAAACAAAATTTGGGGTAATTTTCTACAAAACTAAAATCACATTTTTAAGCAGAATAGGTATATTAAAATTTTTTCTACATTGGTTTTAAATGTGAATTTTCTAAACCACACAACTTAAAAACTAACTTAGTTTAGTGACACAAACTTTGAGGTAAAATATCTTTGAGAGTTTATCTACTGGCTATAAGGATGAATGCCTTAAAATTAGGCTAGTACAAACCATTTTTAAAAATCTGTTTGTAAAACTTTTCTATTATAGCTATTCGATCATCACGTTATGTGTAATTTTATGCTTTACTGTCTATTAACAGATGGTGTCTTTGAACATTGGCATGTTTTTAAAAAGCTTCATACTTGTAGTATACATTAACAAAAAATTAAAGGTCTACTTAATTTTAAAAAATATTTTAATTTATTGAAGTATGCTATAAAGACTTAATTCAGAACAACTGAATTTCTTTTGTTTCCACTTTGAAATACTTTGCTAAACTGTTCTAAGGTCAGAAATAGATGTAATTTCTCAGTAGTCAGTTCAGACTACTTTTGTCTTTTCTAGGTAACTTGTTTTCTGAGCTATGCTTTTGTTAACTCAGAGAGAATAAATGGGTTTTAAGAAATTTTTCTAATAACTGGGTCTGAGCCAGAGAAAATCTGTTAACTTATTTTCTAGTGTTAACTCGATTATTTTTAGGAACTATGAAGATTTGATACTATATAGCAATGGTTTTCCAGCTACTACTTTTTGTTGTTGTTGTTTTCTTTCTTTTTGTAATAGTAGTGGAACCCTTTCTTCAAATGAAACCTTAGACAAATCTATGGCAATTACGCTTAAGGAAAAAAGAACAAAAACAAAGTCTTACTCAGAACCCCATTATTTGAAACCGATCAAATGGAATGGCTCAGGTTAAAACTGTCAGTTTGAACGTTGTAAAGGAAAGACTGCCATTTAGCTGATGTCAACAGAGGAAGTTTAATAAAGAAGAAAATGGGACTGTATAATTTCAGAGTTTTTGAAAGACTCAATGCATCTGATAAAGAATACATTTCTTGAACACAAACAGTGGCTTTCTTTGGATCTTAGTAAGTGTTGCATATTGAAAGAGATATAATAAAATGATATAATTTAATTTCCATATGTCATGCACTTTGCAAATTCCAACAAAAAGTCACTAAGAACTCATGTCTGTAACATGTATATATACATCGTATTGTGGGTTATCTTTTTGTTAATGTAACCAGGCTTTTTTATTGTTAGTACAGTGAAGCTAGTTGATGGTTAGAAGACTACACAATAGTCTATGCCACACACTGTTAAAATATTATTAATTCCTTTAATTCTCATAAAAAACAGAAATTAGTCTTATTATCCCCATTTTCACTAATAAGGTAACTGAAGCAGAGAGGCTATATAACTTTCTCAGGGTTACACAAAAGCACAAGATATAAAAGTAGAATGTAAATCCAGAGCCTCTACACATCTGTCTTAGTAGTTTTTTAAAAAAACATTGAAGGAAACATTTTCATTTATTATTGTTTTATCTTTTTTAGAAGTGTTACAAAATTTACCTTAAAATAAAAATAAAAACATATTTTGAAACTTTGGTAAAAATAAGAAATACTTGAAAGTTTTTACTTTTAAATATTCTGTTGAATTATAGATGTATTAATATAACTTCTAGACTAAAATTACATATAGTACATGCTAATGTGGTAAATAAACAACAATCACATAGTTACAATGCTGAGTTCTTTGAACTAGAATTGCTATTTGCATTGCATTATCAGAAAGATGTGGATAGCTTTGTTGCTGCTTGTAGTAAAGCTTCTTAAGGTCAAATTTTCTGTAAGGAAAGTAATAGCATCCTAAATCCATAGTATTTGGAAGTAAGCCAAGCTGGCTTCTACCAGTCTGAAATGATTCAATATATAATAAGGTCACATTTCCTAATTCAGATGTGGTAAAGGATTTTATTAAGGCCTACTTACTTAACTTTAGCAGAGTAGTAAAAGTAATTCAATTTATATTTTGGCTACTCCCAAAGTGACTCTTGAGCTTTGTGAAAATGTATTATATGATCAGGGGCTACACACAGTCTGATCTGCCTGTACTTGGCTAAGCATATCTTGATATGTGCCTGATCCAGAAAGGCAAATATCACGTTTCTTCACTAGAGAATATAAGATGATTTATGAAAACTCCATTACCATCTTGTGGTCTTTTAGATTATTGCTATTAAATTGCGAAAATCCTGTTTTACTCTTTGAATTATTTTGATATTATTAAACCACAGGTATTAATAGCACCTTTCAGTGCTTCATAGGCTACAGAATATTCTCTCCTACCCTAGTAGACAACATACTACATCTTAAACAGTTTAAATAATATAAACTCATTTCTATACAAATATTTAACAGTAGTATCAGAGGAATTCTTAATTATAGTTGATGTACATTAATTTTGAAAGTATAGGAAATACATTTACATCAGAATGAAGTTGATTTAGAATCACAGAGTGATCGAAAGATAATTTTCCTTAATCTGTAAAGAATTACAATTCAATTGGGAAAAGACCAACAACCTAGTTAAAAAAAAAAAATGAGGCAAAGGGCATGAATAGACAGTTTTTTAAAAAACAACTTTGAAAAGCTATTAAAAATATGAAAATATGCTTAACCTAACTCATAAAAGGAAATGTAAAATTAAAACTTACAGCATACCATTCCATTAAGAATGGAGCAGCTCTGAAATAGTAATACAAACTAATCTAAGGTATATAATTAAGAGAAAAACTATCGAGTTTAGCGTATGAATTATATTTTATATTAAAAAGATGCATATATATGCATATGCATTGGATATCTCCAAAAGATACATAAGAAACTACTTTTGGAGAGTCCAACTAGGTGGTTAGGGGAGAAGTGAAGGAATCCTTTATTTTCTCCATTATCTTTAAAAAATTTTATTGCTGGTTTAACTGCCTATTCAAAATAATTTTGGAAGAAAACACTAAGTCATAAAATATAAAAACCTGTAAAGGACCTGTGCAAGGTTTTTTTTTGTTTTTTTTAACAGCTGATTTAGAGTTGCCCACGTGCTTTAGATTCACAGAGCTGTTGATTTCAGCCTAGCTCTCATTATACCAGTAGTACTCAACTGGACAAGCAGGTCCTAATAGTTACTATCTTGATAACAGAGATGGTATCTCTCTTTGTCATTGTATTTAACTTACCTAGCGAACAGTAGGTGCTCAATAAATATTTGAAAAAAATTAAACAAATTTAAGATATTTATTACTTTGTGGCATGATACAGGTGGAAAGTATTTTATCTTTGAAGAAAAAATTATCTTTGTTTCCTGTTCCAGTGGAAAACTTATAAATGCATTTGTTATAGTTTAATTTTGATCTATTCTAAAAAAACATTTATAAAGTTATAATTTGCTAATCATTTGTTTCAGACACTGGCTTCATGTCCTATTGACCGAAAACCTTTTCAGGCAGTGTTTAAATTCAGTGCATTGGAAGGTTGTGTTAAGGTAAGGCTTAGATTTTGATTTTATTTTGTAACATGAACGGTATAAATTTAATTCAGTTTTGCTTTAAAAGATTTCCAGTTTGAGTAAATTTGTGAATTGTTCAGCTTTAGCTTTAATTTGTGATTATCATTCCTTCTCAGCATGATAGCCCAGACTTTTATACAAGGACTCAGAAATTCTGAATCTTTTTTTTCCTTTGCTCCCTAAAGAAAAAAATGGTGGTCAGCTTACGTTTTTTTTACAAAATGTATTAGAGCTCTGATGCTCTAAAAGAAGTTTCACGTTAAGTCTTAATTACAAAATATTTGAATTTTTAGAATAATTTTAGTGTGAGGACTTCTATTTCAAAAATATTTATTAATTAGTTGAATAGTGTTTTGAATATATTTTTCTATTTAAAAAATGTTTGAAATGGAGTAGTAGATCAAAGACTAACCCTCACAAAAACTTAAGTCCAAAATACCTGAAAAGTGTGTTTTTATTAAAAAAAAAACATAATGTTGAGAAGATTAAGCCAACAAAATTAAATATAAAATAGTATCTTTGTTCTTAAATTCTGGTGCTTGAAAGAGAATGAGTTTAATTGGAGAAGGATAAGCGGGTTTGTGTAGATCTTGAGCGGGACTTCTTACAGTTTCAAAGTTAGAATGGACAGACGATTTTATTCTTTAAAAGTATAGTTTTATTGTAATGTTTAATTCTAATTACACTATAATTATAATTATACTATAGATGCACACACTATACCTACCTCATTTTTGTTAATTATTATTAACCATGATTATGATTTGTATTCACATTTACTTTTGGCTTACAGATAAAAGAAGAAAAAAGAAATAGAAACATATTCCTGAGTTAATGAGTAAAAAGTGAAAATAGAAGAGTAAATAGTTAAGTAAAATGTATGAGAAAGAGATTTCTTGGGGTATCTCTTACAAGTCACAAATGATACATAGTTAAAAATAAGAATACTTAATACATACATATATGATGCCATTGATGGAAAAAACAAACTTCCCAGTTAGCACTATAAGTTCATGACAGCTTGTTTGCTGTCTGTGTGAGTAGAAAGGGACATGAAAGCAGTATACAACTATTTAAGTATTAGATGTTCTCATTATAGGTATTTATAATTTGTCTTGATATATTTTTAACAGATGTACAAATAAGACGGCAATTCAAATAAAATGACATGAAAAATTATTTTGCTGCTTATAATTGTATAACTCTGGACATCTATGCAAATTAGCATATATTTTGGAGAAAAGATATAAATGCGTATATTATAATCAAAATTAAAGCATGACTTCTCTGAAAGACATGTTCCATATTTTTCTAGACTATATATGTTTTTTGCTAAAGATTCATTTGCATGTATTAACTTCCAGACATTTTTCTGTTGTTTCATGTGAAACTTTGTTCCATTGCTGGAATAAAAATTTGTTTTATTTAATAGAGTTTGTACTTAAAAGTTCAGTACACTGTTAATCTAATTTTGTCAAACTTAAAAGGTACTTTTATGTGATGTTATCCGTATACTCAAAATATCTTCCTTTGACCTTTGCTTCTTTTGAATCTTCACTTTATTATCCTTTTCCTTTTACAACTAAACTTGAATGAGACATCTACACTTGCTTACTCCATTTTCTGTCAATTCTTAGTTCCATTGAGCCTGTCACTTCCATCATTTTCTTTTACTAAAACTGCCCTCATTAAGCCAGAATAATCTGACTGGCCAGTCCTATGGTTTCTGCATGTAATGCTGTCGAGTACCTTTATTTCCCTTGGCTTCCAGGACATACTTCTCTTACGGGTATGTATTCTTTGTATGTATGTATGTATGTATGTGTTACATTTTACTGTATATAATGTACATATGTGTGTGTGTGTGTGTGTGTTACATTTTACTTATTTGACCTTTTACAGTCTTCTTTGCCATCTCCCTGCCTCTTTACCTTTTCTTAAATCATTGGGGCTCCTCATAAGATCGTCTTTTCAATTCTCTTGGTATTACTTTCCCCCTAAGGCTTCTCAACTACTTCAGTAGCTTTTAATGCTGTCTGTATTTTGTATGGCTTCTAAAATTCTGTCACTAGCCTAGATCTTTTTCCTTAGAACCAGATTTGCATTTTCAGCCACATTTTGGACATCTCCATCGATAATACCAAAGGAATCTAAACATTAACAAATCGAAAAATCTTCTGGGAGTTTTCCATTTTTTTCTTTCTACACCCAATCAATGCCTCTTTGTCTGCTCAATGTGCCTAAATTTGTTCCTTCTTCATTCTTCTGCTATTAACTCTTTGTAGGCCCTTGCGCTATCATCTAGACCGGTTCTGCCTATAGAAATAATACTATAAGCCACTCTATGATTTAAAACTTTTAGTAGCCATATTAAGAGTAAAAAGAAACAGTTAAAACAGATTTTTATAATATAATTTAAGCTAACATGTATTATTTCAAAACATTATTTTTAAAGAACTATTGAGAGTTTATCTTTTTTGTTATGGTTCTAAGTCTTTTTACATAGTCATGCTGAGCTCTTTACATTGTGCTCAGTCCTTACAGTATATCCAGTTCAGACGAGCCACATTTCAAGTGTTCAATACCCATGTGTGGCTAGTGACTATCAGACAGTGTAGATCTAGACTGCATACTGTAAGAGCTTTCTTCTGTTTTCCTGGCTTTTATACTCTCTCCTCATTCTTCACACCACCACCAAAGTTATCCTAAAAAATAAATTCGATCATCTCATTCACTTGATTTAAAAACGTCATATATTCTCTGATTCCTATAGAATTATTTTCTTAATTTGAGGCCCTTTATAATATCGTCCAAATAGTTAACATCAACTTCATATTCTACTAATCTTCCCCATCTGCACTGGCTTTTGTACTTTTTCCTTAATTTAGAGTATTTTTTCTTAGACAAATTCTAACTCATTCTTTAAGACCACCTTATAAATTATCTGCTCATTAAAGTCTCCAGAATTAGTTTCTCAGTCATTAATGTATATGCAGATTTGTGCTCATATATCTGATATGAGCACTTAGTCTGTTTACAGGCCTATCTCTCACTATTTTGTTTCCCCAGAGTTTGTTTTAAATATATGGTTTAGCATGCTTGAATGAATAAGCATATGTGTTTGGGCTACACTTTTATTCAGATAATTGTGTTTCTTTAATTTTTTATCTTTTCAGAGGATAATTGATAGGTTATCATTTGTGATGCTAGACTATCACTCTAAATGGGTGATTTTACTTTTCTCATAGGTTCAAGTAAGACAGTTGAGAGAAACAAAACACAAGAAAAATGAAAATTCTTTCAAGAAACAGCTCTCCTGTCATGAACATTCTAAAAGCTGTGTGAGGTTAGTGATGAACTTTAGAATTGGAATCCAAATGTGTAGAACCAAATGTGTAGTAAAAGAAATGAGTACTTTTTAAAAAAATGTCAGGTTTAAATGTATTTTAATTACTTCTTTTAAAGCACATACTTGATAATTTAAGGAAGGATCAGCTGAAATCTGAGAATATAATTTGAGTTCTATTGTTTTTTTTTTTTTTAGAGTTTTTTGGGGCGTAGGATCAGTTTTAGATTGATATTTTTGTAAAATAAAAATTTTAGAGCAGTGTAAAGTTTCTGTAAATTTTTCTGAATGCTTACTCATTTTTGTATGTATCACAAACCAATAATAACAGGCAAGCACAGCACACAGACTACATTTTGAGCATCACTGGACAAAAAGTAGGAAATAACAAATAATATAGCTCACCATTCTTCATGAGACAGTTATAATTCAAACTATTATCTTTCTTATTTTGCTTCTTTGTATTATAGCCCGCACTTGCTACCAACTATAACAAATATTTGTTTAAAAAATCTTTAAACATGTTTAGATTCATTTCTTTAATTGCTCTTATTAAAACAATTAGAAATGCAGTGCTCAGTACTTGAGTTTAACAGGTTTTAACATTTTTCTAACTAATTTGAGTTAGTAATATACTGGAAATTAATTTATTATTAATATTTAACTAGTACTAGTACATTTAAAATTTAAGCCCATTTTGATCTGAAATATATTTACAGCTGTCCAAAAGTTGTATTCTTAAGTCAATATATTGTCAGATTCATAATTAAATCTATAACTCATTAGGACATTTTATCAGAATACTAATTTCTTAAAAGAGTAAATTTATTTAGTTACCAAATAGTTGACAATAGTTCTTGAAATTTATTGAATCATGCCAATGATTTATAACACTGTAGTTCTTTTTATCTTCACTTTTGGGAAGTTATAGACTTCTTTGAGAATCTAAAAAAAGCTGTAGACACCTTCTTCCAGAAAAACATGTTATAAAACATATTTACAGACAACTTTGTATATGATTTTTAAGGGATTCATGAAACACCCACTATAAGAGCCCACCCACAAACCTAAATTAACTGCATTAGAGCAAATTTTATTTACATTTGCTTTTAACTATCTTAGCTTTGATTCATGCAATTATGTTTACATGATAGTAGCACATGGCATAATGAAGAAATCCCTTTTGCCATCTTCATTCTTAATGTAGCTTCTGTCACCGACTGTGACAATATCATGTATATGTATTTTTGTGCTTTCTTAGAATTACTCCAGTTCTCTGGCTCTTGCTTGAGAGTTTATATAACAAGTTCATTCAGTGGGTCTAACATTGCTGAGGTAATCCACAGATTTAATTGCTTTTTTTTTTTCCCAGGGATTTATGGTAGGGGGATGGTATACGGAAATAACATAAAAAATAATAATTTGGTTTTGTCCCAAGTCAGACCCTTAGTGATTTCTCCCAAGGTGGAAAACCTGCCGGCTATTGGATATTTATAGTACGTTCTTTTTGAAGTCTTTTGGATATTTTTGGCATTTCTCTTATTCAACCTTATGTTTACTGCATATGGCTGAATAGTTTCTCCAGCACTTTGACAATATCCATTCAGCGTTTCCTCTCTCTTCTGAAGTAGTGAAACCCTGACCTCCTTTCTTTCTGATACATCCTACCAGTTCTAGAGAAAGGGATTGCAGTGGTAGGTATTTTGTTTCTTGGTAGTGAACCCTCCATTGTAAGTCATTAAGAGTGGGGAGGGGCAACTGGTCATGCTTGCTTTGCTAGAATTTAAAACTCAGTGCCTAATAGATTTTATTTTGGTGGGTAGTGAATTGAAAATAAATGGGCAAAATGACAATTTTCGCTTAATTATCTCACCTATTTTTTGATGTTTACAGAAAAAATGTCATAGGAGAAGATCTGTTAAGGGCAAAGCTTTATGACTTGAAGATGCATAGTAAGTGCCTTTTTACTTTTGTTCTCTACTTTTTTTGTTGACTTTAATGTTTGTGCCAAAATTCTTAGTAACATTTTTGTTTGGAAAACAGTCATGCTGAGCTCTTTACATTGTGCTCAGTCCTACATAAACTGCTTTCATGGAGTTATTTGTGCTGTTCCCTGCACTTTTTGTTTTTATGCTCAGCTTGGAGGAAAAGAAGAGGAGAACGAGTGAGTGAGTGAGTGAAGAAGAAAAAAATACGTCTTGGTGGTTAGCAACCTACATTGTGGTCTTATTCCATTTCAACTACTTGGTGGTTAGCAACCTACATTGTGGTCTTATTCCATTCAGTGCAGAAGATTTTAGGGGAGATGGGATAAAATACCTTGTGGACCAGTAACTGTAAGCTGTAGCAAGGGAAGTCTGTGACTGAGAAGTTAATTCACAGTTCCCAGAGGAAGTTGTGGTTTGGCCTCTAATCATACTTCTAATTTGAAACTTTGGAAATAAAGCACCTCCTACATATTTATCTATGTGAACAGTTAAATATTCCCGTCTTTTGTTCTTATCTAGTACTTAGTTCTATACAGGAAATGTTTGTGGCAGGGCCTGAGAAAAATGGCACAGTAGTGTTTTGTAACTCCTCCTGGGAGCTCAGGCTGTTTATTCTATTCTAAAGAACAACTTACTATGAACTGTTTGTAAGCATTTAATTTCCAGGCTAGGTTACAATGAATTTCTCTTTATAGATAGAAACAATGAATTCATTGTTCTTGAAAGTAAGTGATAATCAGTTTCATTTTTTTTATAAATTATGAATACTAAGTTTGGTTGTTAGGTTTTTTTTTTCTGATTGGAATTAACATGATCTTCTTAGGTTTATAGATCCCTAGATTTACAGATTAATATTCTTTCTTTGATAATGTACTATTAAAGTGAAATTGCACTAAAAGGATTGCTCATGATTAGATGAGCATTTTTATTTTTTTTTAAAGAACTTTAGATATCAAACTTTATTTTTCTAAGACATTGCTGTAGATTAGCATACTTTTTTTATGGCTAGACTTTGCTTGGTAACTCTAGGGTCAGATATAATATTTATTGCAGAGGAAAATTAAATGATGTTAACTAGATTTCCTGTAGATAATTTGGCCCACTTGTCACTATGTTAATCTTCATTTTAAGACTACTGTAATTTTCTTTAAGTGAATATCTTGAGAAACATAGGCAAATCTTAAACCTAAAGTGCTTCAGTGTAGTGAAGACCATTTATGAGAATCTGTGATTTATTTGGATTTGATAATTTATTTTACTATTCAGAATATGAAATACTAAACAGGTTTTTAATGGCTATCCTAAACTAATTTAATATTGAATAGCTAATTTTAAATTATAATTCTTAAAAAGAAATTATTCCTGCTAGCAGGTTAACATTGTCAAAGGCCTGTAACGTAATGTCTTGTCTACTTAAGTGAAGATGCCTGAAGTCATTTGTTTGGTTAGGATAGGCAGAAATACTCATTATACTTTATGAGTAGATGATATAAGACTACTAATAACTAGGTAATTATGTGGAAATGTCTTAACTGAATGAGTTTGGATTCATTTGAGGGGTACTGGGTACTTATTTATTATCCATTTAGTTAGTTTTTCTATGATATTGCTTTTTACTTGGGGAGTTTAATACATCGAAATAGGTTATTTACCTGATGAAATAATTAGCTTCTGTTTATGAATGTTTAATGAAAATTACTCAGGTTTAAATAAACATAAAAACTAATTGGTCCATTTTGGAAGATGCTAGAAAGTTAACTAATTTTGAAAACAGGTACATTTGCTTGGGAACTCTAGGATCAGATATAATATTTATTGCCGAAAAAGATTAAATGATGTTTATTTATGAAAGGAAAGATCCAAACATCTATCTTGCCTTTCCTAAATAAACTATGCGTCAGGATAATCGAATAGATAATAAAGGAGAGTTAAATTTTTTAGAAGTATTTCAGCAAATAATTGAAGATGGAATTATAGAATTTGAATAACAGCATTTTAGAAACTAATTTTATTTAGTTCAGTTTATTTGGATCCATATTCTAACATGTTGTAAAAAGAAGGTAAAAAATATAACTTTATGGACAATTAGGAAAATTGAACATTGGGTATTTGATATTAAGGAATTATTGGAGTTTTTTTAATTTGTTTTTTTACTTATGATATGGTAGTAAGGATTTTTTTCTCCAAGGAGCACTTACCTCGTAGAGTTAATTATACACTGAAATATTTATGCATTAAATGATATGATCTCCAGAATTTGTTTTAAAAAGATCTTGAGAAGGTAGTAGATAAATTAACATTGGACATGAATTAATAATTGTGGAGGTTGGGATATGGGTAGTACAGGGTTTCATTTTGCTATGCTCTCTACTTTTGTATTTGAATTTTCTGTAATTAAAAGACATGTACTATTAGAATTTAATAGGCCATTTTCCTTCCATAGTGGTACATAACCTAATTCAAGGACTTACAGTTAACTTCAGTGAAATACAGTATGTTGTCTCATTTTGTGTTTTTTTCTAGTAAGGTTTTAAGTTTCTTGTGGGCGGTAATTGTGTTTTCTGTGAGACATTTTCCAGTTTATTATACAAAATGTTAATGGTTATTAAGTACTTGTTTTTTGATTGCCCTTGGCTACAACTCCCTAATAATAAAAAGTAACTGATCAATAGATGTAATAAACAGTAAACAAACTTGGATGCCACCAGTTTCAAGAAAGTTGTTTCCTCTAGTCAAGGAAGGAGACAAAGAGATTAATATAAAGTAAAAATGGCCAAATGGTAACATTAAACCTACTCTGTAGGTGTAACTTTTGTACTTTATGGAATGTTCAAAATCGTTCATAATCATAAACTTAAAAAAAATTTTAATAGGCTAAATATCTTGGCTAAGATTACTCAGCTAACAATTGGAGCAGCCACAATTTGATCCAGTGTTCTGGCTCTATATCCAATGCCTCTTCTCACTACAGAATAATACTAAAGCATGATATTGTTAATGTTACCCACCTTAACCCTCTCACTTTATGGTTGTTTGCAACTTTTATAACTCACATTATTGCCTTATTCTGGTGGCTCCTGTTTAGATGCACTTTTGAGCCAAAAAATAATTTTTAATATAAAATTAACTCTATTATTGATAGTGTAATATCTGCTCCCTACTTCATAAACCAATTAACCTTGATTATTTTGCCTTACATTTAGAAATGTGATAGGTGTCAGTCTTTTTTTAACAGGCTAAAGTTCATGAACCATAGCTAGAAGAATAGAACCTTACAGAATTTTAACCTTTAATTTTTAAATTTCTTCTGAGGTTTCTTAGATATTATTAACAAATGACCTCTTTAGAAGACTAAGAAACTACGGCCATACCACACTGAACAAGCTTGATACTGTCTGATCTCGGAAACTAAGCAGGGTCGGGCCTGGTTGGTACTTGGATGGGACACCCCCTAGGAAGACCGAGTGCTGTAGGTGTAAAAAAATAAAAAATAAGGGATTGTAAGCTGACAAGATCCTTACAATCTGTGAGGTTAACCAAGGGTTGCCTTGCCCCCCACCAAAAAAAAAGAAGAAGAAGAAGAAGAAGAAGAAGAGGAAGATGAAGAAGACGATGACTAAGAATATCTGTTACTTGTAATTGTCTTAGAGTTTAGGGACAGTAATGAGCCTATCATGCAAGAGAGATGCAACCTTGGATCCTTAAATGTAGGCATTCGATGACTAAACAAGAAATAAGAGACAGAGTTAAATTAAGGTGGAGGTAGGTAGTGAGAAGTTGTGCAAATTAAATACATCTTTAGATTTACCTAGTTACACAGAACAGGAACCGTAATGTCCTAGAGATAATTTAAATTTCTTTTTATAAAAGAACTTCTTGAGGAAGTGTTGTCTGTCTCTTAACCTAGAATTACATGGCTAAGTTTTAGAAGAACCCAGTTTTAGCTTCTTTAATTTCTTCAAGTTTTTTGAAGCAGGAAGAGGCTGTTCTTTGAACATTTATATACGACTTTCTACCGGAAGTTATTTTTATGTTATATATAAATTAATGAATGACATTGTGAACTTTTTATCTGGATTGGAAAATATTAATATAACATTAGTTAAAAGTTAGTAGTCCTAGTAGACAATTTTATTGGAAGTAGGCCCCTTGGGTTTTGTACTGGTTTTTCCATTAAATCATCTGTGACTCTAGGAAAATTATATAAATTGTTTAATTTCATACTTTTATTTAATGAAGATGATGTTGGCTCACTTGAAAATTGTAAAAGGTTAGCATACCTTTTGGAAGATCTATTAAGGAAATATCACTTTCATTTTTTAGTTATACTAGATAACTGAATTTACTACTTTTAAAAATTTAAACCTTTTATTCTTAGAATGAACATTAATTCTGGCTAATAGTTTATAATTGATGTACTTTATAAAAAGTATCTTTTCAGGCATTTCTTAATGGAGTACTTCTTGAAATACATGCTAGATCCATTTAATTATGGCTTTATTAATTTTGGAATCAATCAAATTTTAATTGGGTGCTACCAAGCACTGGGCGCTAAGCTCAGAGCCTTTATTATACTGGTTTGTATTGTAGAAAAAGATATTTTTATGAAACATTTTTTGGGATTAGTGTTTCATGAAACAAGTTTGAGATATGCCGAATTTAAACAAAAAGACAAGCTTTCAGTTTGAGCACCTCTTTAATTCTCTAATCCCTCCCAGAACCCTACTATAATGACAGTAAATGGATAAAAAGAAAAATTTTAAAAGAACTGGAGAGAAGAGACAGCAGATAAGAAATGTTCACAAAATGGAAGCTTGAAAATGATTGTATAAAGTGAATGGTAAACTATCTTAGAAGAAATCTGAAACCTAAACCTTTCGTGGGGAGAATGGAGTTAAGAATCAGATCACTTCACATACCATAGAACCTTAGACATCTTGGGTCTAGAGGCCTCCAGTATCTTTGAAGGCAGGTATGTGGGGTGGTGCCAAGAAAAACCCAGAATTGATTTAAAAAAATTAAAGGAGCAATGTATCCTGTAAATTCCTGGCTGAACAGAGGAGGGGAAGGAGTCTAAGAGGCTTACTCTACAATGAGTGGTTGAACCAGATTAAACTCTAGCACAGATGAGAGTAGAGGAGACAACAGAATAAAGAGAAGGAAATTAAGTAAAATGTGGAGGCCTCTAAATCTCTATCTGTGGTTATTTTTCAAAGCACTAGCAGTCTTGCTTGTTCCCAAAGTAGGAGGTAGGAGGAGGCATCTTCTGGGATACTGTCTTGCCTAAGAGAAAAAACTTGGAGATACATTACGGAATCTCTGAATAAAATAGCCAGATCTCTGCTTGATCACCCTACAGTGCATCCCATTAGTTGAAAGGCTGTGACCACCCATCCACACCATTTTCAATCAGTATTTTAGTGTCCCACAAACAATCAAGGATCACCAGATAGTTGAGGGAAACTGTGGTCCAATGTAATAGAGATCAAAATAGAGACAAAAGGAACCTGATAGAACAAACCCAGTGCTAGGAAACAGGGAACAACTTAAAAATTAATATCCTCAGAGGTAAGAGGAGGGATATTTTATGAATGAAACAAGAAAAGACTGAAAAAGGAAACTTTTGGAAATTAAAAATATTATAGCAGAAATTTTAAAAATTCAACAAGAATAGACTATAAGCTAAGAAATCTCAGAGAGTGGGATGAAAAGTCAAAGAGATGACAGGGTATTAGTCTATGAGATTCTGTACTGAATAATAAAATTTCAGAAAGGAAAAATAAAGCGAAAGGCAGAAAGTTATCCAGTAAAGTACTACGAAGGAAAATTTCATAGACTAGTAGGGTGTGATATCCAGATAAATCTAATACCTAGTAAATGAGGAAAGAACTACACTTAGTGCTTCATAAAATTATAGAACTCTGCAGATACAAATATACTAAGAGCTTCTAGAGAGAGAAAACAGACCATGTATAAAAGAATGTTACCAACAACAGATGGAGCTATGGAGTAATGCCTTGAAAATTCTGGGGAAATAATTTCTAATCTAGAAAATTCTGTGCCCTGCCAAACTACCATTCGAGTCCTAAGGCAGAATAAAGACATGTTCTCAAACACATGAGAGCTCAAAAATTTATTCTCCCATATCTTTTCTCAATTCTACTGGAGGATGTATATGCTTCACTAAATGAGAAAGTAAATGAAGGAACAATATGAGATTCAGAAAATAAGTTCTGACCCAGGAAAAAGATTAACAGAGATTGTCAAAATGATGATAAGGGGGCAGTCCCAGAATGACAGTCAAACGGCAGCTTTTAGAGAGTTACCTGTTCAGACTGGAGCAGGATAAAATAAGAGTATTTCCAAGAGAGAGGGAAACAGGCTTGATGAATAAGTTGATGTGTTCGTGTGTATTAGGAGATTTATACTTTTGTTGTAGACCTAGCTAAATTGATAGATAATATAGGAAAACAAAGAAAAGAGAAACCAAGAAAACAAAGCAGTTGTTAACCCTTGAAAAGCAAGAAGTTGTACAAGAAAATAATCATAATTCAGTATATGGTTCAGCTGCGAATAGTGTTTATATAGTTATAATTTAATATAGTTTATATCAAATGTTTATAAATTTTTTAAAAACAGGGTGGAGACAGCAAAGGAAATGGGTAGGCAGTGGTATAAGAGACAAGTATCTTCTACAGTTAAAAAAAAAATTAGAAAATATCTGTAACCATAATATCAAGGTAGGATAGTATAAGCATGTTTTGAAGAGGTAAATATTAGAAGAAACAGCTGAAGGATTTGATGAGTGCTTTGGGGGAATCAAAATCAAGAGTGGGGATTTCTGTAGTTTTCCTTTATAAGCCTAGAAGTGCTGTTTGACTTATTATAGTATGCATTACTTTGATAAATATTAAATGAAAAAGCATATCACTGCTGTCCAGAGCAGATAGATTAGCAATGTAGATTTGTGAAAGTCTCTAGGAAACCACAGTTTAGACAAATCCACTAGTATTGAACACTTTTTTTATGCTTAGAGAGGGGCGAGGCAACCCTTAGTTGACCTCACAGATTGCAAGGACCTTGTCAGCTTATAATCCCTTATTTTTATTTATTTATTTTTTTATGCCTACAGCACCTGGTCTTCCTAGGTGGTCTCCTATCCAAGTACCAACCAGGCCCAACCCTGCTTGGCTTCCGAGATCAGACGCCATCAGGCTTGTTGAGGGTGGCATGGCTATAGTAGTATTGAACACTTTTGAGATTGTTATTGGAACTGCTCAGTAATTACCTGAGAATTACCCAGAAATATGTGAAATAGCTTTTGGACTAGATTTTCATACTGAGCATTGGGCAGAAGACTAACAGTTCTTCTCATAGAGAGCATTTTGTCAAATGGTGGCTTCCTGAGACAGGCTTCCAAGTGTAAGAATGCTATGTAAACAATATGTACTCATTACATATTGAGTGAATGAAACCAAAATGAAAATAATTCAGCACGCTCAGGACATAAAAGACATTGTGTATCTATAACACAGCAATTCTGTTTAGCTAAGGAAATAATTATTTCTAAGAAAGTGGCTGGATACCTATCAAACATTTTTATTCCTGGCTTCTTTAAGCAATTTAAAAAATCTATCATCTTTTAAATAAACTTCAAAGGATAGGAACATAGTTCCTGGAACTCAGTCATCACCCCTCTCCCCAACATTGAAATTACATTTGTTAACAACAGTTCTGGGTGGGACATGTGTGAAGGATGGATAAAAGCACAAAGCCAAACAGCTGTTTATAGTAATTTAAATGGAAATTAGTGCACTATTAAGTAGAAAGTAGGCTATTACCAATGGACTGACAGAAGAAACCCCAGATACATATGGTCTCGCATTAGCAGGAAACAGGCTTCCTAGTTAGGGTGATTTATTTTGAACAAAGTCAGTAGGCCCTTTGTGAGGCAAGCAAGGCTGAAGATTGAAAAATCATTTGCACTGCATACTTTTTCCAGAGTTCTGAGGAGAGAGAGCATTGACAGTACTAGCCACAGTTTATTGCAGACAACAAGGTGTATTAATAGGTATAAATAAGTAATAACATAGCTTGATTGTAAAGAAAAATTAAGAGCCATAATCTATAAAGATGCTAACATAATTTTTGTGGTAAACAAAACCTTCCTTTATCTTCCTTAACCCAGAAGTACATATCCATAGAAATAAATTTCCAGATGGGACAGGTAAAGCCAAAAATGAGTTGTAAGCAATGCATCCAGAAACATTGCTATAACAGAAAGCTGTTTTAATCAACACTATTACTTTTCCTAATTCTAATTATAAATTTTGGGGAGGAGAGGAAGGGATTTACTTGAAATTGGTGCCAGTGGTTAAATGATAATTTATGGTCAACAAGGGCTGATGGCCCCAGATCTCCTGGTCATGTCCTACTTGAGGTGAGTTAACAGTATCTGTTTTTTAGGTCATAGGTGGAAAAGGACATCTTGAGTGCATTATTGATATTAAATAATATGACTTCTTGTATATACTTTTTTGTTACAAGGTGGTTTATTTGCATAAGGTATCAGAATGTTGACCAGGATTTTAGTACTCATGCTTTAAGCATGCTGTATGAGTTTTCTCTGTTGTGCCCTCTTACATTTTTCTTGTATCTGCGGCTTAAAAGGATAAGATAAAATTAGGATTTGGAAAAATTATGTAAATGCAAATACTGTTATTTTAAATGCAACTTTCCTACATATTTTAACTTCCTTTTGTCAATATGTCAGTATCAATACTGGTTTTATGAACTTTTAAAATAAAAATTAAGACAAGGTACCAAGTCTTTTTGTGTCTTTCTACAGGAAACTCTAAATACAGTGAAATGGGAGGAAAGAAAAATACAACAGTAAAGACGGTTTGTTGAAAAATCTTTTTCTTAGATAATACTTAGTGGTTGTTTAGTGCATAACTCCAGTGCCTTAGGTATATCAAACTATTTAAATATAACTGTAACCTACTATTATGGATGTTTTTTTAATTGCTATTTCACTAACTTCCTTTTACTTTTCTAGCCTCAAAGATCAAATCAGTGTACAAGTCAGTGCTTCAGAAATTTTTTCTCCAATATGTTTTCTCCTAGCAGTCACACTGGAGAATCTTCTTTTACCTGTAGAGCTTACTGGTTGGTATTTTCTACTTATAATTTATGCTTTTTATACTTGATGTTTTAGTTATAATTAACTTTTAGTAGAAATTTGAACTCAGGTTCAACAAACGTTGTGAAAGCCCACCTTGTTTTTTGTTTGTTTCTTTTGGAAAATAAATTAGTTTTAGCAAAGAGAAAACCTGTTATTTTGTGACCCTCTGTATTACACAATGAGTACCTATGCTAGTGGGCTTTGTTTTCATTAATAATAAATTAAATTGTTTTGCACAGCTTTTTATGTGATAGAGAAGTAGGCTACTTGTTAAATTATAGGGGTAGTACGTAATAAAGCAGAACGCTTTTAGAGTAGATCCAGTCATCTTTTAATTCATTGTAACTGGCAGGTAGACACTAGGTACATATGTGTGGAATTTGAAGACTAAATTAGAGTTTTAAAATCACAGTCAGTTTACTAACAAGACATATTAAAATCGTGTGATTCAATTTAAGAGGTTGGCAAGGCAACAAAGGAAATACCTTCGAAAAGCTAAAGTGTACCCATTTTTTGTTACAGTAAACATACCTTCTTTTTTTTTCTTTTGCCCTCTGCTTAGTTTCGATGGAAACTATTACACCTGCAATTTCTGTTGGAACTGCTTACTGCAGCTTTGGTTCATGGGATAGAAATAGTGTTGTTTTTTTTCTTTCAATAATAAGTATATTGGTCTGAATTGACTTTTAAAAAGTTCTATCACTTAAGATAGAAATTCAAGCATTATATTTATGAATTAGGTAAATATAATTTTGATTTGTAATCTAAAAATTTTACTTTAGGAAGGGGTTCATTTTGAAAGTCTTTAAATAGAAAAAGGTTCTTATTCTTTTAAATGTGATTTATAATGTTAGTTTTGAAAACTTCTGCTATACATCATGTAATCTAGTTGTTACTCTAAACTTAAATTTTTGGATTCTCATGAAGGTCTAAAATTTATCTTTTAGTACAGAATTTATAGACGTCAATGAAATCAGTACATTGATTAGTCAGAAGAGACAGGAACTGGAATTATCATGGTTTCCCAATACATTACCTGGAATTGGAAGGTAAAAAAAAAATAATAATTATGTTTACTAAAGTGTTTAAATGCTAACATAAGCATAGGATATCATTAATATATAGGTACAAAGTTATTCAGTAGTTACATTTCTGAGACAGTTTTGTGCAACTTAAACTTTGGTGTTTCAAATACCTAACAAAGGTTGCTATTTAAAGAACTCCTTGAAAAGTAAAGAATTTTTAATTTATCTATTTAATAAATGTAGGTATTTGATTCATTTAAAAAGGAGAACACCTAAATGATAATATTCATTATTAGTAATAGCAGTTAGATCTGTCATCCATCCTCTACTCTTTTTCCCATGCCAGTCTTACCTATGTGATGTTATCTGCATCACTGTTTTTATCATGATATTTCTCCTCTCCAAAATGTTATTTTAAATAACTAATTTGATCAAGTCCCTACTCTGCCCTGGCATTCATGATTTTCAATAATCTAGCTCTTTCTTAGTTTAAGTCCTAAAGCTACTAGCACATTGCTAGATACATGATAGATATTTAAATCAAGCTCCTATGTAAAAATCAAGGCCCTTGCCTGAGTATTTATTCCCGTAACTTGTTGTAACTTTATCACTAAAATATAGTTCTCCATAGGGCCCTTACTTGTAGGAATGACAGTGGAACACAAATAGAAATAAAATTAGGAATTCAGATATGTATAATGTGAAACCTTTTCTTAGAGTTATGTATTTTCGTACATGTACACACACATTGTTTTTCAAGTTTCTCTTCCCCTCATCCAGAATCTCACCTTATACTGGATAAAGTACTCTTGTTAGGAGATCTGAACTGATGAACAATTATGAATCAGAAAAAGAAGCAGCTGAGAGTGGATTGGGTTTGGATGCAGAAACTTTGAGGTCTTAGCAAGTCTGTAACAGTGGGAACTTTGAAGAGCCATCATCTTTAGATGGAGGAATTTTAGAATATAATACAGCAATAGAAATCAGGTTTTTAAAAATGTATTTTGATGTTTGGGGCCTTGGTAAACACTGTAAAACAAAGCTAACAAAAACTGATGTCTCTGATATGCTTCGTAGTAATATAGATCTATTTCCAGTATTCGTTGTTTTTATTTATTCATGGACTGATTACCCTTTGACCTCACTAATATCTTAAAAACCATGACTTGATTAATTTGACTAAATTTTCTTTTTGGTTGCCTAAAAAGGGAATTGGGGGTGCAAGGGACATGGAGTTGTGGAAATGTTCTGTTTCTTGATTAGGGCGGTGGTTGCATAGATATATACATTGGTCAAAATTCAGCAGACTGTCTACAGCCACACTACCCTGAACAAGCTCGATTTCGTCTGATCTCGGAAGCTAAGCAGGGTCGGGCCTGGTTAGTACTTAGATGGGAGACTTCCGAGGAAGACCAGGTGCTGTAGGCATTAAAAAATAGAAAATAAGGGATTGTAAGCTGACAAGGTCCTTGGCAATCTGTGAGGTCAACCAAGGGTTGCCTCGCCTAAAAAAAAAAAAAAAATCAAACTGTACACTTAGAATTTGTGCATTTTATTAAAGTTGATTTTTTTAGAATAGCAAAAAATAAAAAGCTAAAAAATTCTTGACAAAATTTATTAAATTTTTTAAAGGAGAAACAACTATTATATGTTTAAGTTACCATCGATTTCCCTTTGCAATTTATCAGAAAACCATGTTTTAAAGGTTTTTTTCTTTGCAGCCAATTGGTAGCCATCCTTGAACAATGAGTAACCTTGAACTTACATTTTTAGCTATTTGGGCAAAATATAATTTAAGCACACTATATTTTAATGTTCTTACCCAGATTTGGAAAATTAACGATTTTGAATTGCTGGTTTAATGTTTTAAACCATTAAAGCAAAAATGTCTTTATTTTGTTTTGAATTTTCAGAATTGATTTTATACCCTGGAATATTTCAACAGAAGTCCTTCCTCTCATCTCTTCTGTGTTGCCAAGAACTATTTTTCCAACATGCACCATATCTTTAGAAAATTTTGGTAAAGTTTGCAAAATGTTTTTCTAGTTTTTATATTATGCGTTTTTAAAAAATTCTTTCAATCTTATAAGAATTGAGATTTAACAAAAGCTGTAAAATAAGTATAAGTAGTGAGTCCTAAATATTTCTGTATTTGGACAGTGACTTGATTTTAAAATTGTCGCAACTGTAAAATCCCTTTTAAGAAATGATAACTTCTTGTCTTCGAGGAACTGATTAGAAGTCTCCCTTCTGTTTAGAGCTTCAGTCTCCTAATCGTAGATCTTTAGAAGTAACATCTCTTGTTAATTATAAACAAATAGTTTGAGTCTTTATCTATTTGTGGATAACTTGTTTTCTCTTGCTTTTTGCCTAGGTAATACTAATTTATAAAGCAAGTGGCAGTTATCAGACCAAATGTATTTTCTTTTTTTTCCCCTGTAAAATTGCCCATGTGGATTCAAATCTTGTAAGAACTCATTCAATAGCATTAAAAGCTGATAATATCTGATATTATTCAGATGTTAGTAGCTATGCATTTATTCATAATTTGATTCATATGTATACTTTGTTTCACTGTTATAGATGTCTGTTTTATGCTAAAATAAGATGAAATCAAACTGTTTATTGAAATATGTACTTATATTTTACTTTAAAAAAAATATTAGGTACTTCTTGCAAAGGATATGCATTAGCACATACTCAAGAAGGGGAAGAGAAGAAGCAAACTTCTGGTACATCAAACACCAGAGGATCAAGACGAAAACCTGCAGCAACAACTCCTACAAGGAGATCCACACGTACCACGAGAGCTGAAACATTCAGTCAGTCTCAGAGATCACCTGTATCAAATAAGTCTGGGTGTGATGCCCCAGATAACAGTAATCCATCTGTAAATGTTTCCTCTTCAGCTGAGTCAGAAAAGCAAACAAAACAAGCTCCAAAACGGAAGTCTGTAAGAAGAGGGAAAAAACCACCTTTACTGAAAAAGAAATTGCGGAGCTCTGTACCTCCTCCTGAAAAATCATCTTCCAGTGATTCAGTAGATGAAGAAACAGCAGAATCTGACACACCACCTGTGTTAGAGAAAGAGCACCAATCTGATGCAGAAAGTAGTAACACTTGTACTGTGCAGACAAATGTAGACAGTGAGTCTGCTAATGGTTTGAGAAGTTGCAGTGAGCAAATAGAAGAAAATGAGGAACATACTGAGAACCATGATACAGAAGAAAGAGTGGAATCTTCATATTCTGAGTCTTGTACCCAACTGCCTCCTGTGCTAGTTGGAAAGGAGAAAGAAGTTCAAAAAGTTGAGAATATAGATATAGAGGCTAATGTTTTATGTTTAAAAAATGAGATTTCTAAAAATATTTCTGAAAAAGGAGATGATCCATTAGAAAATCAAGACCAAATATCTGGACCTTCAGAATCAGAGGGAAAGGTAGATACATGTACAGATCATCCTCCAAATGATTTCCTTACATGTTCAGCATCTGAAATTGAAGTATACCAACCTATACCAAGTCTAAGTGAGTTACCCGAGAATGTAGAGGTAGTGGTTAATGAAGAAAAAGTTACAGAGATTAATGAAGAAAAGGTTGTAGAGAATCCTGTAGTAGAAATTATTGATCATAAAAATTATACAGTGAAAACAGAACAGCTTGTAGACAGCCCTAAATTAGAATCTTCTGAAGGAGGAATTATAGAAACAGCAGACAGAACATCTACTGAGAATTCAGATGTTCAATTGCCTGGGCATGTTGAAACTGAAGATGCAGAAATAATTGCAACATGTGATACTTCAGAGCATGAAAACTTCAGTAATATTCAAGACTCTGAAAATAATTTATTAAAAAATAATCTTGACATCAAATTAGGCAAATCTTTAGAAGAAAAGACTGAATCTCTGGTGGAATGTCCCAGATCTACAGAATTGCCTAACACACACATTGAACAGATGCAGAAGCATTTCAGTGAGGACAATAATGAAATGATACCTATGGAATGTGATTCAATTTGCAGTGACCAGAATGAATCTAGAATTGAACTGTCTGTAAATGCTGATGCTAAACAAATAAATAAAAATTCCACGGAGCACAGTTTTCAAAATAATATGCCATCTTCTGATCCTGCAAGTGAAAAAGTTGAAACTATATCGCAACCTTTTGAAGGCCCAGTAGATATGATAGATAAAGCCAAAAAGCCTCGTACTCGAAGATCTAGATTTCATTCCCCATCTACAACTTGGGCTCCCAACAAAGACACTGCACGAGAAAAGAAGCGGTCTCAGTCTCCATCTCCCAAAAGAGAAACTGGAAAAGAAAGCAAGAAGTCTCGATCACCGTCTCCCAAGAAAGAAACTGCAAGAGGGCGGAGAAAATCCCGTTCTCAGTCTCCAAAAAAGGATATCACAAGAGAAAGAAGGCGATCTCAGTCTCGATCTCCAAAAAGAGAGAACGCTAGGGAAGGCAAAAGATCAGAATCACTCTCCCCAAAAAGAGACACTTCTAGAGAGAACAGAAGATCTCAGTCAAGAGTAAAAGATTCTTCTCCAAGAGAAAAATCCAGGTCCCGGAGCAGAGAAAGAGAAAGTGATAGAGATGGGCCAAGAAGAGATCGAGATAGAGACAGAGAAAGGAGAACCAGAAGGTGGTCTAGATCCAGATCTCGTTCTAGGTCACCATCAAGATCTAGAACAAAAAGTAAGAGTTCATCATTTGGTAGAAATGACAGAGACAGTTACTCTCCTCGGTGGAAGGAAAGGTGGACAAATGATGGTTGGAGGTGTCCACGAGGAAATGATCGGTACAGAAAGCATGACCCAGAGAAACAGAACGAAAATACAAGAAAAGAAAAAAATGACATAAGTCCAGATGCTGATGATCCAAATTCTGCTGACAAACATAGAAATGACTGTCCCAATTGGGTAACAGAAAAAATAAATTCTGGGCCTGATCCAAGGACCAGAAATCCAGAAAAGTTAAAGGATTCTCATTGGGAAGAAAACAGAAATGAAAATTCAGGGAATTCTTGGAATAAAAACTTTGGTTCAGGTTGGATGTCTAACCGTGGTAGAGGCAACCGTGGCAGAGGCACTTACAGAGGTAGTTTTGCCTATACCGATCAAAATGAAAATCGGTGGCAAAACCGAAAACCCCTCTCAGGGAATTCAAATGGTTCAGGGAATGATTCTTTCAAGTTTGTGGAACAGCAACCCTATAAACGGAAAAGTGAGCAAGAGTTCTCATTTGATACACCGGCAGATAGATCGGGATGGACATCTGCATCTAGCTGGGCTGTGAGAAAGACTCTACCAGCAGATGTACAAAACTATTACTCACGACGAGGGAGAAATTCTTCAGGTTCACAGTCTGGATGGATGAGACAAGAAGAGGAAACAGCTGAACAGGGTAACAGATTCTGTTTATTAACACTTTTATTTGAGGAAAGAGATTATAAATTTAATACCTATTTGTATGAATTGAAATGATCCTGGTTTATAGTTTTATAATGTTAAATTGAATACCAGTTATTTACAGGTCACTTTACATTATATACATATATATATGTATATATACACATCAATATTTTCTTTTTTATCCCACTCCTGCCCCAAAGCTTGACAAAGACCTTAATATTTTAAATAAAATTTGCTACAATAGAAAATTTTAGGATGTTTCTATGCAGGATTTAACTTCTGTTTCTTTTATTTCAGATGTAAGCACTTGAATTATTTAGATCATTGTTTGATTCGTTGCTCATATGACAGATATAATCATGTGAACTTAAAAATAATTTTAGTTGATGTTTCTTTTAGTTAGAAAATCAACTCACATTATTTAGAGATGACAGGATTAAACTAAATAATCGGAGATTAATTGCTATTTAACTTTACTATAACCAGTGGTCTTTGCTTCTGTCTAAAGAAATTCGTAACAGTTTTTTCATAAGCCTTTTTTCTTTTGTTAGATTCTAACTTAAAAGACCAAACAAACCAACAAGGTGATGGTTCTCAGCTACCTATAAATATGATGCAACCACAAATGAATGTAATGCAACAACAAATGAATGCACAACACCAGCCTATGAATATCTTCCCATATCCAGTGGGTGTTCATGCTCCTTTAATGAACATCCAACGCAGTTCATATAACATTCATCCTCAGCTACCCTTGCATCTGCATACAGGAGTGCCTCTCATGCAGGTGGCTGCTCCTACCAGTGTATCTCAGGGACTACCACCACCGCCACCCCCTCCCCCACCATCCCAACAAGTCAACTACATTGCTTCACAACCAGATGGAAAGCAATTGCAGGTATGTTTTTAGCAACTCAAGTTTAATCAACATAGCCATTATAAACATTTAGGTATAAGGCGGGGGAAAGGACTTCCTGGCATCTAAAACAATTGTTTATTTGATTAGGTTTATGGTAAATCTTCATAACCTCTCATAACCCTAAACTTCCCACCCACTAGTAGAAAATGAATTGAAGGCATAAATCAAATCTAGGCTACATGATGCTGTTACTGACATCCAAACAGGTCTTGTCATATTAAGAAGCCCAGATCATGAGCCAAAGTAGGATCGAGTTGTGGGTGCTTTAAAATTTTTCCCTAATTTATTGGATTTTTTAGGGGGTGGGAACTTGTGACAAAACACTATGGTGAAACTTGAATTGTCTTGTTTGGACTAACACCACGTAAAGCTGTTCATTATCTGTTACTGTGTTTCATTTTCATAAATATACCATGCTAAAAAGAAAGAGGTATCTCTGAGGCATAAGTAAAATTTGATAATTTATAAACATTGTGTTGCTAAAGTGTTATGTCTACATTTCAGAAATTCTAGAATCCTGACAGCGAGATATAGTTGGAAGAGCAGGGGAATGGGATTCCTGAAAATGAGATCTTTTATCTTTTTCTGCTATCAACTCACTGCAAGCCATTTGAGTTCACTGCCTCATTTTCTCCCATCTTTAAAGGCCGGGGGGAGGGGCACTTACTTTAGTTAATTTTCATGAAGAGCCTTGCAGGAAAGATAATATTCTCTTTTTTAAAATTTATATTTTATTTTTAAAATTATTGGGGTGTGACAGATAATGTTCTTTAAATGCTGGTCTTATTTTTAGTATTGGTGTCAGAGCGTTATAATACACATATATAAAAGTAATGTTGGCATATTTAAATAAGGCTCTTTAAGAATGTTATTCATTTTTCTTCAGAGTCCTTTAGATATAATTGACCTGAAATATGCATTTCTCTTTTAAGTGCTAAGGGTGAATTGCTTTGAGTTTTTTTAATGTCATCTCTAATACATGACTAAAAGACTTCCATTGAGTACAAGTAATTCATTAACTGATGATAACTCTTTACAACAGGGTATTCCTAGTGCATCTCATGTAAGTAATAACATGAGTACACCAGTCTTGCCTGCTCCGACAGCAGCCCCAGGAAATATGGGAACAGTTCAGGGACCAAGTTCTGGTAATACTTCATCATCAAGTCACAGCAAAGCCTCTAATGCTGCTGTAAAATTGGCAGAAAGCAAAGTAAGTGTTACAGTGGAAGCCAGCGCAGATAGCTCGAAGACAGACAAGGCAAGTTCAAGGTTGAGAGCAACCTGCATAATTTTGTATATGATAAAGTTGAAAAAATAACAGCTTTATGTTGTATGAATGGTGAAGGGAATTTATTGCTAGTCTCAAATTCTAACATTATTTGAAGAATTCTGTCAAGATATGTTGATGCCTAATGAGTTACTAGTAATATAATTATTTTTAGAAATGTTTAATATGTATGTTAGTAAATAACTTTTGTGTTTGTGACACTAATATTTGAAGAGTTCCCTCTAATGTAAATGTGCAATGTTTTCAATTTTATATTTTTAAAGACTTTTTTTGAAAGTATGTGATTTGGGAAAATAAGAATTATGCGTTTTTCTCTTATCAGAAATTACAGATTCAAGAAAAAGCAGCACAGGAGGTAAAACTGGCCATTAAGCCATTTTACCAAAATAAAGATATCACCAAGGAAGAATATAAAGAGATTGTACGGAAAGCAGTAGATAAAGTAAGTTATAGCTTTAGTAGAGTTATGTACATATTGTTTTGAACCATCTTTATTTTAATAGAGAAATGCTTAAGTCTATTTAAAATAATAAGAGCTATCTTTTAATTGTCTGTTTTTTTACCTTTTGAATACATTTATATGAGATATGAAATATAGAAGAATGTCTGGTTATCTCTTTGGGGTTATTCGTTTTTCACAAAACTTTCCATTTTGCTTCCTATAATAAATTTCCATCCTTTTTTCCCAGGTTTGTCATAGTAAGAGTGGAGAAGTCAATTCTGCTAAAGTGGCAAATCTGGTTAAAGCCTACGTAGACAAATACAAATATTCACGGAAGGGAAGCCAAAAGAAAACTCTGGAAGAACCTGTCTCTACTGAAAAAAACATAGGCTGAAATGGAGAGCACTGTAAAGGACATTATCAAGATATCTGCAAAGTGCAATTTCAACATGTACCTTTAATTGAAAATCATACATAACTGTGATTGAAATTTGGTTTTGATATATTTTTTTTAACGTAGGATATAATGTTTTCTTCTAAATAAATAATAGTTCTGCACTGCAACTTCTATATCCTTTCCTCCCCTGTCCCCCTCCCCACAAAAACTAAAAGCAAATTCAACAAAGGGGTTAAAGGAATGTGCATTTTTACTAGGACTGTGTTATAGTGTGGATACTGGAAGATGTACAGCTTTTTGATTTGAACAATGAAGTGCATAAATTAGAAATTTCTAAGTGCGCTGGTTTTGGAAGAGATATATATAATACATTTATTCTGTCAGGCTAAAAATAAACTATGATCTATATGATTTTTCCCTCTAATTATAGAAAGTTAAGTATTGTATTACCATGAAGAATATTTCTAATAACAGAACATACCAATTGCAGGGTTCCTAATCTGTATTTTTAAAGCACACATCTGAATAAATTGCTTAGATAGAAAACGAATTATCATGAGTAAAATTCAGTGTTCACAACTTTGGAACACTGTTCACCTATTGTATCACCAAATAAAGGTTATGCTGCTTGTTTTTTCTTTGTGCCTTTTTTCCCCAAAATTGAGATGAAGCAGTTTGACTTGCTAGATTTACAACTTTGGCAGTCTAAATTCTTTGTTGAATTTAGAAGACCAGTTTGAAAAAGGGTTGACTTTGTAAAAATTATGTTATTGCATAATATCTTCTACCTGTCAGAGATGATAAATTATCTGTGTCAACTGGAGAATTGCTTTTAAGTGGTGATGCTCTCTTCCTTAGGACTAAGGTAGAATCATGAGACTCACTTCAGTGGTTTTCAGATTGTTGTTCATCTATCTAATTACTAATGAAATTCTTTTCACAACTTGAGAAATCTCCAAATGCTTTACAGTGAATAAAGTGTTAATTTGGTGAACATATGGTGGCCATTAACCATGCTGGAAAAATCTAGATGATAAAATCTCTTTTGGAAAGGGAGAGGAATTAAATAATGGAGTTTTGGTAGGCTTTCAGGGACTAGGGATTTGATTTTTTTTAAATACTAGAATATTAATTTTTATAAAAGGTAAGTTAAAAATATTATAGTATCATTATTTTAATTGGTTATCTCCATGACAAACTACTTTCATTCCAGTAACAATTTCCAATAGATACCGAATAACTAGAACGCTATTCAGATAAAATGTTAATGGCTCAAAGATAGATGTATGCCTCTGAGACAGACTAACCTTTTTACTAGCTAAACTAGCAAGAGCAGTGCTCTGTAGGACAATGCTTTTCTTAAGTAAAAATTATGTGTTTCTCAATTTTATGTGCACAATACTTTTCTGGTGCTAGCTTTGATAGGCAAAATATTTTAAAATGATGGTCTCAATAATGATTGTGCTAGTTCATAATCTTATTTAGATTATGAGTATAACCCCCAAAAGTGTTAGAAATATTTCCAGGCAGTTTTTGGTCTTTATTCTGCATTTCTGGCCATTTGTAATATAGTATTCTGCTGATTTATATATATATATATTTTTAATTAAAGTTTGTGTTTAGATTATGATGGGAAAGTTTGGAAGTATATTTCTAATAAAATATTAAGACAGTGTTTTAAATATCAATGTACACCTCATTTGTTTCAGTTTTGAACTCTAGAAACAATTGTGTGAACTTTCACTATTTTCAGTTAAAGCTGGTTCACACTTTGAAAATTTTGTAGCAAATTGCCTAAGCTGATTAATCACACGATGCGTACTTTTCCTTCATTTTCTTTCAGTGACTTTTGGGAGTTGGGTGACATTTTAAATTGTAGCGCTTATCTTTTGCAAACACTTTAAATGTTTTGAAGAAAAACTAGGTGGTGTGGTCAAAAGCTAAAGTTTCACATCTTTGGTGGCATTGCCATGAATTATTTCCACCTTTCTAGAAAACAGCAACTGTATTCCATATCTGGTTGGAGTACTGGTTAGACTCCATTTAAAATAGCTAATGAAGAATGTTACTGGATTAGAATGAAAACTTGGAAAACTTGGAAATATTTAAGAATATTAGAAAGTGCATGCTTTATGTTAAAAAAAAAAACAACTGCTTTACCATTCCCCATTCTTTTTTTTTTTTCTTTTTTTCAGAAATTTACATTGTTCGCATGTGCACCAACCTAATCAAAAACATTTTGTGGGGTTACAGATTTCTCATTATTTATGAAGATTCAGTATTAACTTGACCTCTGAAACCTTGGTCCTTTTAACTTACTAGCCACATTGACCTATATTTAGTGATGCCTACCTATAGCGATGCCTAGAATTTTGAGAATGAAAGTAGTTACTTATTATTTTAACATTCCAAAAGTTTTGTGATTTTTTTTTTTTTTAATTTTGGTAATTACCACATTTTCTTCATTATCTTCCTTTAAATGGCCACAGTGTGTACTGCTTGAATGTTGCATCCAAGAGAGGAAGCTTCTGAAGCAGAGTGGTTGCTGGTGGTCGGTGAGACATTGTTTGTAGAATGAGGATGGAGTGCTGTCTACTGAAACAATACTCAAACAGATATGTAGTATGTAATATTTTCTAATAAAGCCTTTTGATAAACAAAGTAGTGTCTAACATTTTATTAAGATTCCTGGTGACTTTTACCTCATTATAACTTTCCAAACGTGTTGAAGTATTTCTTGAATTTGTACCAAAGTGACTAGCTTCATAGTTACATTAATGTCCAAGTTGTAAAGCAAGGTTCGAGTTAGCTATAAGCATCTATTTTATAGCATTTTCCCTAATTATGTAACATTGTAGGAAATAGAAAAATAATAAAATATTTGTAAATAGGAAGAAACCAAAAAAAGAAAAATCACCTGTAATTCTACCATTTAAAGGTAACAACTATTAACATGGTCAAACTGCGTATAACTGTTGTAACTTATCCTTTTCTCTTGATGTATTGAGAAGTTTCCATTTTAATAAAAATTCTACAGCATTACTTAATGACTACATAGTATTCTATTACATGAGTGTTCCATTTTTAAAACAACCCTTTACTGTTGGATATTAAGTTTTTATTAAAGTAAATAAAATATAAACTAATATAAATAAGATATGTAAACATCTTACTACATAAATTGTACCCATTTCAGATTTTCTTTAGTCAGTTTTTATTTCCCCATGTAACATTTTAAAATGTAATTAATTATACACACACAATATATAATTTTTTAAATTCAATTTAGTGTAAAATTCCATTTTCCTAAGCTGATTTTTCTGTCCAGAGGGATCCATCAGAAAGGTCTGTTTCTTTTAATAGTGCAATTACAAAAGTGCTTTTTGAGGTTCTAGGATAACAGGTTTCACGGATCTTTTTCTCCAGCACATGATACGGTGTAAACTGTTCTGCACCCGTAGTCCTCTTAAGAAATTGAAGATATATTCCGTTGTCCATGTTCTATTTTATAATGGCTATATCGTGTTCTGTTGATGGACATTTATGTGCAAGTTTTGGCTAATTAGAAACTTAATGACCATCCTTTCTAACATCTGTGAACCTCTTTGTGTATGAGGTTATATTGAATTTCAGGATATGCACATTTTAAATTGGGATAGATGTTGCCAAATTGTTTGCTAAAAGGGATATACTAATTTATAGTTCTACCACAGTTCTGAGCTTAATGCTTTACCTTTAATTCCACCTTTGATATTGGGACTGAGCATGCCAAATTATTCTTATTCATAAGGTCTTAGTGAACATTCATTTCATCAAACAGTGCACACGTGTGTCAGGAATTCTTGGACTCTTCACATACTAGGTTTATTCATACCACACTCTTCTAAAAGAATAAAATATTAAAAAATTTTAAGCCTGTGATATGTGCCAGGCACTGAAACATTTTATGTGTGTTACCTCATTTAATCTATAAAAGCATCCTAATTATCTTTGCCCTACTGATGAAAATTGAAATGCATAAAGCATTAACTGAGTTCCTTAGTTACACAGCCACTTAATGATAGAGCCAGGATTCAGACCTAGGATTGGTAGATGCCAGTTAGTTAGTGCTTGACAGTCTCCCCTTGGTTCCAGAGAGCATGGGGCGTTACACCGAGCTTACAGATATAAAATAACATTTATGTAACACATGGGAGTAATGGTTGAACTAAAAGGAAGTATACTGGAGCACAGAAGACACAATTGACTTTGGGAGGATTGAGGGAAGGATATCCTGCGTCTAACCAGACCTCATTTTTGCCGTTTTAATGGTCTCATTTTTTTCCTATCTTAGAGATACCTTTAATCTTGAAAGCATCTTTCATGCATTCTTCCCTCTTCTTACCCCATCTCATTCTCTCAAAAATTGCTATTTTCTCTGTGTCGTCTTCCTTTGCAATAAAATTCCTTTTAATTCCCACTAATGTTATCATCTGACCTCTTAATAGTCTCAACTATTATTTAGAGTCTATACACACCAGTTCATTTTATACACTACAGATTAACCTTCCAATAGCACAGCTTTGGTCATATTATTTTACATAATTTATTTGACAACCTCTGTGTGTTAGACACTAGGGGAGAGTGAGCAAAACAATACTGTACTTGCTCTCATGGAACTATATAATATGGCAGAAAAAAAGCTATCCACTTTAAGTCCTTCACATCGTCGGTAAATTCTTGGAAACTCTTTAAGTGAAACGATATATAAGGAAACAATTTTTACCATAGACAAATTGATATAAACCAGAGTTAAGTTTCTACAGCATATTTCTGGTCACGAGAATACCAAAATTCTAAGTAAAGACCCCAAATACTTCTAATGTTAAACATTGAAATACATGTGAGCTATATATTTAAGAAAGATTAATAAAAACAAGAATAATTTGCCAATCCACTTATTCCAGTTCAGGGTAGCTGGTGGCCAAGGGTTCTCCCAGCATTTCAGGACACGAGTTGGGATCTCACCCTTGGCAGGATGCCTTTCCATCACAGGGTGCATCACACACCCACACACAGACTGAGGCAATTTAGACAGGCCAATAAATTTCAATGTGCACATCTTTGGGATGTAGGAGGAAACCAGAGTACCTGGAGAAAAACCAGGCAGACATGGGGAGAAAGTGCAAACTCCACACAGACAGTTGCCCCAGCCAGGAATTGATTTTTTTTTTTTCTCATCAATATAAAACAATGAACAAAAATCACATTATTTGAGGACCTGCTGCATATACAACTGATAACAGGGTACAACAGGTAGGACTACATGTGCTCCAAGAATCTATGATATAGGGTAAAAGGACCTAAGAGTTGTCAGTAAGAGTCCCTGAAAGAGAAGACACTTAAGCAAAGAGCTAAAATATGAATAAGAACTAGGCAAAGAGAAAGGATGACAGAGAATAGCAGGTGCAAAAGGTCTGTAGTCAGCATGGAAACCTTAAGCCTAGAATAGCTGTAATGAAGATTGGTGGAGAGTTTTTAAGGCAATATGTTATGTATGCAAAGAAAAGCTTTTAAGCAGGAAGTGTTTGACATGATCAGGTTTGCAGATTACTCTGCTCAAAATCTTTCAAGGCTCAGTAAAAGTGATTAATAAACATGAAAAAGTGTTTGACCTTACAGTTAAGTGAAACAACGTAATAAATTTTCTTTTATCAAACTGATAAAAATTTTTTAAAATACTGGCAAGATGCCATGAAGAAACTCAGTACAGGTAGGAATGAAAATTTGTACAATTTTTCTAAAAGGCAATTTGAAAATAAGAATAAAGAGCCTTAAACGAGCC